TTTATTTATATATAATATTTATATTTATAAATTTATTTATATTTTTTAAATAATCATCTATTAGTTATCTACATTTGTTGCTGAAGTAACAAGAGTAGCTAGAGGAGTAGGGACTGAAGGAAAATTAGGTGTTCAAGCCCAAGTTAAGTATGTAAAAGGAACCTGGAAAGAAATCACATCTAATGTCAATACCATGGCAGCAAATTTAACTTCTCAAATACGTGAATTTGCACAAATTTCTGCTGCTGCAATTGATGGAGATTTTACTCAAATTATTACTGTTGATGCATCTGGTAAAATGAATCCACTTAAAACTAAAATAAATCAAATGTTACATAATTTAAGAGAGAATCTTCAAAAAAATAATGCTGCAAGAGAAGCAGCTGAATTAGCTAATAGAAAAAATAGAGAGCTTTTTGTAAATATATCACATGGGATTCGCACTCCTGTAAATGGTATTGTAGGAATGACAACTTTGACACTTGAAACAGAGTTAACACATCAACAATGTGAAAATTTAACAATAGTTAATTCTTTAGCTAATTCATTATTGACACTTATTGATGATATCTCAGATATTTCAAGGAGTAAGAATTATTGTTATTGTTATTGTTATTGTAATTATCTTAAAGAAAGGAGTAATTTTACTAATGCATTATTTATATACACATAGTTGAGGCTGGATATATGACAATTGAACAAATTTCATTTTCACTTCATTCTGCTGTATTTGGTGTTTTAAAAACTCTTGCCATTAAAGCAACTCAAAAGAAACTGGATCTTATATATGATGTGAATAATGGTATACCTGATCAATTGATTGGTGATCCCTTACACTTAAGACAAGTCATAACAAATCTTATAAGGAATGCTACAAAATTTACAAATGAAGGACAAGTGATGCTTTCTGTAGATACATCAGAAGCAGAAGGTAATCAAGTACTTTTGACATTCTGCATAAAGGATACTGGTATAGGAATTCAAGCAGACAAAATTGGATATATTTTTGACACTTTTTCTCAAATTGATGGATCTACAGCAAAAAAATGTGGGGGAACTGGATTAGGACTTTCAATATCCAGATGCTTAGTTAACTTGTTGGGTGGTAATTTATGGGTCAAGAGTGAGTTTGATAAAGGTCCTGAATTCTTTTTCACAGTCAAAGTCAGACCTGCTACAACAAATCAGGAACAAATTGAACAAAAAATGTTACCATGGCAAGGACATTATATATTATTTATTGATACATTACATGACAAAACAGGAGTTGTTAATATGATTGAAACATTAGGGCTTAAACCAAAAATTGTAAATTCAGTTGAAGAAGCGGCTATTATCACAGCATCTGGAAAATCAGATGCACCTTTGTTTGATACAGTAATAGTTGATGATTTAACTATAGTTGAAAGGTTACGAAAAATAACATATCTCAGATATATTCCAATTGTATTATTAGCACCTGCAATACCAGAACTAAACATAAAGAGTTGTATAGATCTTGGCATTAGTTCATATAGTAGTACACCATCAACTTTACCTGATTTGATGAATGCTTTTTTGCTTGCACTTGAGTCTAAATCTTCAATACCAATTGATTGTACAAGAAAACAGCCTTTGAATATTTTAGTGGCTGGAGATAATGTAGTAAATCAAAAATTGATTGTAAAAATTTTAGGGAAATTTGGTCATAAAGTAGAAATAGTTGCTAATGGACAATTGGCTGTTGAAGCCTTTAAATCCAAAAGACATGATTTGGTAAGCTTTCATTATTATTATTTTGTTGTTATTGTTATTGTCAAATTATTTTTAGCTAATATTATTTAATTTAGATTTTAATGGATATTCAGATGCCTATAATGGATGGTTTTGAAGCAACACAACACATTCGTCATTATGAATGTCACAATGGTGGTCATGTTCCAATAATTGCATTAGCAGTTCATGCAATGATAGGAGATCGAGAAAAATGCCTTGATTCAGGAATGGATGAATATTTGACTAAACCATTAAGTAAATAATAATTCTATGTGCGTGTATATATATATATTCATTTAATATTCATTATCTTTTTTTTTTAATTAATTAGGGATTAATAATCTCATTGCAACAATAAATAAGTTTCCTCTTCTAAAAAATAAAATATGAAGAATTACCATTACCTGATGAACATAATACTATTTAAATATGTAAAAGTTGAATCCTTGAAATGTATAACATTATTCATTAAATATTTATATCACAACTTTACTTTGATTTTCTAGCTTAAAATAAATGCCATTGTTTATATTAAAATTAAAAAAGGGCTCTATTACTTTATTTTCCTATTTCCCTAGTATGTTTTAAACTTAACTTGGTGTCAGTATCTTTATTCTTTAAAGCATTATAATTGTTCAAAGTTTACTATTGAAAAAAAGATCGGCAAAAAATTGTCATATATGTGATTGACTATGTTTGTAAAATCATATAATGCAGGACACCTGTAACTGCTGTAGGTGGAAAATAATATATTTATAGTAAAGAATGACATCTTTTGGACTAAAGCCAAGCCAACAAAGAAATGGAATGAAACTACAGAACGTAGAGATTAAAGTTGTATGAGGTCAAAATATTATTTCCTATATTAATATGAATTTTGAAGTTATATTAATCATGAAGTCACGCTTACTTGTGTTGCACGAAAATTTATTTTTAATTCATTCAGTATGCGTTTGTTTTTTTTTATATATACAGTCTAACCTTGTCACAGTGGATTTCGTCACAGTGGATTTCTTGCCACAGTGGATTTAAATATTGGCCCCTTTTTTTATTAATTAAAAATATTTGTCACAATGGATTTTATTAATAAATCCACGTCACAGTGTTAACGGATTTTTGATGGTGATCCTTCTATATGTCTACTAATCTCACCACAGTGGATTCACGTGACATATAAATTCCAAATTACTAAAATTGGTAAACAAAAAAATTTTTTTTCACTATTAATATTAATAAACAAACAATTGAATAGATCATTTTAATTATTTAATAATTAAATTAAATAACAAAACAAACAATAGATCAAGTAACAAAATTCTAAATGTAAAATAATAAATAAAATTAATAGATTATTTGTTCAAATACTTGTAATTAACAAAAATAATAAATAACAATCAAATAGATTATTCATTCAAATGTTTGGTAACAAAGTAAAATAAAATAATAATTAAATTGATTATTTGTTCAAGTTTCTAAAAAAAATTGTAAACAATAAAACAAACGGGATTATTATCCTTTATCCAAAGATTCATAATTTTCAAATGTATAAATAAAGATGGAATTCTATTTATTAAATTCGTAACTATAATCAAAAAATAAAAAAATAAAATAAAATAAATATACAGTTAAAAAATGTCCCAACAATCATCTTCTTCCAAAAAACGTGTATACATTACTGCAGAACAAAAACACAAATTATGTGAAATGAAAAAAAATAAGCCTGAACCAAAAAATAATGAACTGGCAATTCAGTTTGGAATCAGTACAAGCCAAGTTAGTAATATATTAAATGAGTCTAACAAATGGCTTAAAATTGATCCAAGTTCCTACCAAGCAAAATTAAAAAGACCATCTGTTGTCCACTTTGCTAATGTTGAAGAAGCTCTAATTTTGTGGATTGAAAAGGCCCTTGAATGCAATTTAACAATTACAGATCATATTATTAAACAGAAGGGTATGAGATTTGCAGAATTATTAAATATTCAAGATTTTGGTGGTTCTTCTGGTTGGTTAAGTAATTTCAAACAAAGATATTCAATCCGTGAATATTCTAAACATGGTGAAGCACAAAGTGCACCAATTGAACAACTTCCAGAAATGAGAAGAGATTTGCAGAATATCCTTAAAGAATATCAATTAGATAATATTTTCAATTGTGACAAAACTGGTCTTTTTTGGAAAATGGAACCAACACGTGGACTGTCAACTGGGCCATTATCAGGGGTCAAACAAGACAAAATTAGAATAACAATCTTACTTACATGCAATGCAACTGGGACTGAAAAATTGATGCCTCTATTCATACATAAATATCAAACACCACGTCCTTTAAGAGGAATTGATAAAAAAACATTGCCAGTGGATTATTACTGGAATAGTAAAGCTTGGATGCAAGTATCAATCTGGAATGATTATCTTAAAAAATTAGACAA